GTTTCCCGCCCAAAGTGAAACAGAGCTATACAGCTTTACACGCTACCCGCCCAGAGCGAAATAAACAAATATTTGTGCAAGCAAGAAACCCAAAGATCGCACGGGTGTCAAATACCTAGACTGATAGACTGTGGGAGGGTGCAGATTGAAGTGGATGGTCCGCCACTTCCACGAGGTTTTCTTGTTGTTAGCCCGGATCATGAGAATGAAGCAAAGAGATAGGTTAGGGATTTTAAATAATTTATTAAATTTTTTTTATCAAAGGCTTCAACTTATTTTATGTTGAGATCAAGATTAGACCAGTTTAGTCGGGCCCATTGGCCCATTTTTGGGCTCTGTTTTGATAATTCAAATCGTGAAATGTGTAGAACTTGTCAAATATTATATCTCTGTAAAAAAATCACATTGATTGGATATCGATAGCTATTTGATCGGATTATATTTTTATTAAAAAATGAATGGTGAAAAAAAACCGGTTGACAGAATTCTGATCCGATCAAATAGCTATTGATATCCAATCAACGTTATTTTTATTAGAGATGTAATATTCAACGAGTTTTATATATTAAATGATTCGGATTATCGAAACGAACCCAAAAATGGACTCATGGGTCGGACTGGACGGGTCCAGTCTTAATCTCAACATGAGACAAGCTGGACCCTTTATCATATTTTTCACATGAGTGTAGAATGTACATACATGTAAATTTATATAAATTTCACACCCATATAAAAAATTTGATAAAAAATTTAATAGATTATTTAAAATGTATAACATTTTTCTGAAGCAAAAGGTGGGCAAACGTACGGTACACTTATCCCAGGACCTATTAGGGCATCCACAATGGGATAGTCAAAATTATTTGTTAAAGTGTGTGTAAAATAAAAAGTGATAAAAGTGGGGCTCAAAAATATTTGTTAAGATGTGTTAAGAGTTTGTTAATTTTAGAGAGTGAGTGGTGGTGCAATGGATGTGTTAAGGAGTGCGTTAAATATATATATATATATATGTGTGTGTGTATATAATAAATAAAATAAATAAATAATTTAGTTTAATAAAAAAATTCAAGCCCAAAATTAAATTTCAAGTCCAAAAAAAAAAAATCCCAACAAATAAAAAACAAAAAAAAATTCTGTTGACCGGGTCAATCGGCCGATCAACCCGGAAGACAAACAAAAACACTTCCAAGTGCTAGCTAAAGCGCTAGCCGCAGTTAACAAACTTTTTAATACACACGACTAACACACACCACTTATACACACACTAACTGATCCACTGCAGCACCTAACAACACACTTTGCTAGCTAAAATTTACCAACTGACACTAAAACTCTCCTTAGCAGCTCCACTGCGGATGCCTTTATAGGAGTCAGACCTTTTGACTAGTGACATCCCACTGGGCCCCATGTTAAATTCTAATGGCAAAAATTAGCCATAGTTAAAAATTTGGTACAAATTCATGAAATTAAAATTATATATTTAATATTTATAAAATTTATAATTTATTTGTAATTATTTTTAAAATTTTCCCAACTCTAATTACAACACATTTTGAGGTTATTTATAAAAGAAGAAATTACAATTTAATGGTGCTTTTAATAAAAAAATTATTTATAACAATATTCACTACAACAAAAAGCAGTTTTGGTGACAAAAAATGTAAATTTCGTCGCTGAAAGTAGGACAATTGGCGACTAAAATTGAATTAGTAGCCAAAAGTGAAGACTTTTGGCGACTAAAACAGTTTAGTAGCCAAATGTGTACTTATAGGCGACTAAAAATCAGATTAGTCGCTGATTACATGGGTTTTAGCGACTAAAACAATTTTAGTAGCCAAAGGTGAAGGTTTTGGGCGACTAAAAAAGATTAGTAGCCAAAAGTATAGGCTTTGGCGACTAAAAAATGATTTGGTCGCCGATTATAGGTGTTTTACCGACAAAAAAAAAATGTTGTAACCAAAAGTAAAGGTTTTTGGCTACTAAAAGATTTTTAGTAGCTATAAGTGAACAATTGGCGACTAAAATTGAGTTTAGTTGGCAAAAGTGGTGGTTTTGGCGACTAAAAATCAGTTTAGTCGCCGAAAGTGGTTATTTTTAGACGGAAATTAATTTTTTTAGCGACTAAATTATTGGTAGTAGCCAAAACTAAGGTTTTTGGCGACTAAAAAAAACTTTAGTCGCCAAAAGTGGCTCCCTTTTTTTTAATAATTAATTTATTTTTTACATAAATTAATATTGAATAAAAATAATTATATTTATATATATAATTAATACGCGTCAATATACTATATAAATAATATAGTTTTAAATTAATACGCGTCAATATACTATATAAATAATATATATTGCATATATATTTATGTGATCTTGTGGTGGCATAATGGAGGGAGTGTGTTGGTAAAGGTGTAGAAAGTAGAAGGTCTGCGATTTGAATCTCAAAACAAGCAAAAAAGTTGGTAATTTTTTTTTTTCACGGAAGCACCTTTGGCGACTAAAATTATTGGTCGCCAAAAGTCTTTAGTTTGGCGACTAAGTGAATTAGTCGGCGATTTAGTGAGTATTGGCGACTAAATGATTAGTCGCTAAATGTATGATTTTGAAAAATGTAACTCACTATTGGCGACTAAAATGTTGGTCGCGAAAGAGCTGCTTTTTGGCTACTAAAAAAGTTTTAGTCGCCAATACCTTTGCCGACCATCTATACGCGACAAACTAGCGACTAAAAAAATTAGTCGGGGAAAGTAAAAAATCGACTTTTGATGACTAAAAATGAACTTTTGGCGACTAAAAATTTAGTCGCCAAAGGTGCTTTGTGATTTAAGATTTTAATTATTAATGATCCTAAATTTTATTATTGATTTGAAATTATTTTTAAAAATTTAAACTGAATTATAATTTTTTTTTAAAAAGGATAAATGATATGAACCCTAAAAAAAGTTATGAGAAATTCACCATAAATAAAGTTATCAGAATTTTTACCTAATATTTATAGAAGTGTAAAATTCATATTATATGAAACTTACATGAGTATTATATAAAAAGTTGAATATTTTTTTAATCTTTAATGTTTGTTAAATTTTTTTTTTATCTATTTGCATTTTAACTAGGTGAACCGAACTTGAAAATATTTTGAATTTGTTTATTAAGGTTTCAACAAACTCAAGTTTGAGCTTGAGTCCAAACTCAATAAAAATTTAACAATCCGAATTTGAATCAAGTTGACTTAGCCTTAGCTCAAACTCGAACTCGAACTTGTTCATGAGCCTTAACGAGACAAGAAAATTATAAATTTATAATTAGGTATTAGACAAAAGTTACAATTTGATACAATCTATATATATATAAACATATTTTTTAAAAAATCAATATATTACCAAAATAATAATATCTACCACTACTATTATATGAATGTATTATCTATAGTTAGTTATTATTTACATAAAAATAAATTTAGCTATTACTTACATTTGTATTATTTAAATATAAATAACATATTTATTCTATTTTAAACATATTTTTACATTATTTAATACATAAACAATATATTTATTATAATATTTAAATAAATGTTAAATAAGTTAGCTAATAAGCTGAGTTATAGTATGTTTTGACTTGTTTATTAAATTTTAACGAGTTCGAATCTAATAAAAATTTAACAAACAAAGTTCAAACGAGTTCTTATTGAATTGAGTTCGAGCTTGTTCGCAAATAACTCTATTCATTTGTAGCCTGAGATTCAGTTTAATATGGCCTGTTAAGACGATCCAAGTTGTTTATGATCATCTTATTCAATAGAAGTGGCACTTGTTCAAAATGCCACAAGACCAAAAAATGTCATTAGAAGAATAGTTTTGTGGCACTTTCAAATGTCACTAAACTAAGAAAATGTTGTAGTGGTTATAGTATGTTTTGACTTGTTTATTAAATTTTAACGAGTTCGAATCTAATAAAAATTTAACAAACAAAGTTCAAACGAGTTCTTACTGAATTGAGTTTGAGCTTGTTCGCAAATAACTCTATTCATTTGTAGCCTGAGATTCAGTTTAATAAGGCCTGTTAAGACGATCCAAGTTGTTTATGATCATCTTATTTGGTGCAATTTATTATAAATTAAAAGTTGATAATCATAAAGTACCTTACCTTTTAAATAATCAATTTATTTAACTGTTTATGGCTTAAAAGCACAAACTGCATTAAATAGTCCAACACAGACTCTGAAATTAAAATAAACTATAAACAAGTCATTTAAGATATAACAAATACTCTCATTTTTTAATTTTATGGCCTTATTTGATATAATTTATTGTAAGTTATTAAAAAGAAAAAGTTAAAAGCACAATTTCCTCAGTTTCTAGATAATTAACCTTTTTTTAGCTTATTTAAATTATTTTTTATCTAATAATTTAGAAGCAAAAATTATAAAAAATAATTTGTTATAAACTCTCAAATTAAAATAAGTTATAAACATGTTATTTAAACAATAACCAACACTTATATATGTATAAATTATTCATGAAATCATAAAATAAAATTTATATAATGGTCAAAATTGCAAAATATTGTTTTATTTATTTTTATAAAATAAACGGTATATTTGAACTAACTACACGGTCCGTGCCCTTTTTTTTTTGAAACAGCAAAATAAATCTTTATTGATGGGATTAAACAAAAGAGAGAGACATCAATAAAGAGGAACTCAGAGCTAGAAGAAGCTCAAAGTTCCGGTTGGTGAGAAACCAACAAAAGGAGAAAAACAAACAGAAGCAAAGAAAACAAAAAGAAACAGCAGGCACACAACATAGAGCAAACCCTAAGGAAGAAAAAAGAACCAGCAAAGGCACAAACTCAGCATATACGGGCACCCCAGATAGTGGCAAAACTCAGCAGTGGCAAACATCAGACAGTGGCAAAATACACAGCAGTGGCAAAACTCCAAAGCATCCATTCCTATGCAGCAGACACCCCAGAATCCAAAGCTGATCAACAGATAGCACCCTAGCTTAACCTTCGTTGATGCAATGCCTAATAGCTGAGATGTTGTGCAGAAAATCATTGATCGAAAAGTGGAGCTTCGTGGACGCAGCTTTCAACCAAATGGCAATCCTGGTGACAATGAGCTCTTGCAGCTCCTGCAGATTTGGCGAAGATGCTTGGAAGAGACACTCGTTCCTATGTTTCCAGATGGACCATAGAGTTACAAGAGGAATAGCATTCCATATTCGACGTTCGGACTTTCTGCAATCAAAACCTGACCACCAAAGTAGCAGGTTTGAGACAGAATTTGGGACAACCCAAGTAGTCCCCCACCACTGTAACAACCCAGTCCAAACTTTCCATACCAGATGGTAGGAGATGAGTACATGTTCTGCTGTTTCCTGCTGTGCTTGACAGAATATGCATAGGGTAGAGGCAGATCCATCTAAGATACCAATTCGCTGAAGAAAGACAGAGGTTTTTAACTTGTATTTCCATGCGAGCCAACTGAAAAATTACACTTTGGGTGGGAGTTGCTTGTTCCACACCAGATAAATTGGATGATTACAAGTTCCATGGACAGTGCTGATAAAATTATAGAATACCGAGACAAGAGATTGCCCTGCAATAGCTTCTGACCATACTGCATTGTCTTGTGCTTCCAGGTTAAGTATGGGAGTTGGACATAGGGTGGTATTGAGTCTAAGTAGTTCGCTTTTCTCCCAGTCAAAAAGGGGCCTCCTGAATGTGAACACCCAATGCTTAGTAGGGCCAGAGTCATCCACATAGTCCTTGAGTAATCCATCCTTATTGAGTGACAGCCTGTATATCCGAGGAAACTCATCTTTTAGACGAATATTTCCACACCAATAATCATTCCAAAACCTGATTCTACAACCATTACCCACCTTTAATTTTAGGTTATTGGTATAGTATTGGAAGAGGGACTTGTTCAGCTCCACTGCTGATACAATACCATTCTAGATGTTTGATAACTTGATGCTTGGGCTGAGGTTTGGGAACCATCTCCCACCAAGGAATTTGTAATTGCTACAGATGATTTTCTTCCATAATGAATCATTTTCAGATGCAAATCTCCACCACCACTTCGGGAGTAAGCACACATTTACATCCTTCACTCTTCTAATGCCCAACCCACCCTGCTTTAAACTCTTGGTAACCTCCGACCATTTCACTAGGTGGATTTTTCGCCTTGAATCTGAGCCTCCCTATAAGAATGAGGCTTGAATTTTATCTAGCTCCTTAGCAACTCCTTCAGGTAGTCTATAAAGAGACAAGAAGTATACAGGTAAGCTTGATAGTACTGCTTTCACCAATATTAATCGGCCTGCGAAAGAGAGGAGTCTCCTTTTCCAACCAGCAAGTCTCAACTTAAACTTATCAATAACCGGTTGCCATGTTTTCTTTCTCCTTGGATTCGCTCCCAAAGGCAATCCTAGATACTTAAGTGGGAGAGTTTGGGTCTTGCAATTCAGTAGGGATGCAAAAACAGCAAGTTCAGAGATTGAGACACCAACACCACACACCACACTTTTGTGGTAATTGATTTTGAGGCCTGAAGCCATTTCAAAGCATCGGAGTAGTCTTTTCAAAGCAAGGACTTCTGATAGCTCAGCTTCGCAAAATAGTAGTGAATCATCTGCGAATTGTAGGTGGGAGAGTCGCACTTGGTTGAAGCCAATAGATACCCCTTTTAGTAAATTCAACTCCATAGCTCTCTGAAATAGTATGTTCAGTGCCTCAACAACCAAGTTGAATAGGAATGGTGATAAGGGATCACCTTGCCAAAGACCTTTTTGGGGACTGAACTCCTTAGTTGGAGAGCCATTGATAAGAACTGAAATTCTTGCAGTGGAGACACATTCCCGCATCCATGAGATCCATTTTTGTCCAATCCCGTGCCCTTATCTCACCTTCTAAACTCTCCTGCGGGCCACGAGTCAAAATTATACACACGGTCAAAATGTGAACGCTAAAAGTGCTTTCCATGTCGCAATCAATCATTTGTATATATACATCATATCATAATACACAATTAGCAATTATTGGAATGAAGACACAAAACACAAGTGCCTTCCCTTCGAGCAGTTATTTCGTGCCGCTGTGGCGTTGCCACATGAGTTCTGTTTGATAGAATTTATTTTCAGTTTATTTTAATTTTTAATTTAATTTAAGTTATTTTGATGTGTTTAGTTCAGCTTAACAATACAGTTTATAATTTTTTATAAGTCAAAAATCAACTTATTCTTTGAGTTGGGGAAGAAAAACTTAATTTATAAGTCAAAAATCAGTTTATGTTTACAGTTATAAGCTATAAGCTGTTAAGGTATAAGTTATAATCACTTTCCCATAACTCTACCAAGCGTAGCCATGATTCCATTGATCGGTGAAGAAAATCCGACTCATGATTGTATGTCAAGTAATAAAAAATAATAAATGATATAATGGGGTGTTCTAAAAAAATGATTAAAAATTAATTTTTCATCTTTTCTTTTTCTCAAAAAAAACGTATAAAAAATATAAAAAATAATATAACTTAAAATGAGTTAAAAGTTAGGAAGTAATTTTTAACTCATTTCTCAAAAGAGGTCAATATCTTGTTAACTTATGAGAAACAAACAAATGAAATAATACTTGTTAAATCGATTCGATGATCGTAACATACTCCCTCCGTCCCAAAATATTAGTCCCTTATTCTATTTTTCATTGTCCCAAAATATTAGTCACTCATCACAAATCAAGTACAAAAATAATGTAAATTTCCTATTTTGTCCTTCTTTTAAATTAATAAACAATATAAAAAGTACAATTATGACATTGATATTCCCAAAAAATATACTATCAAAAGGGTAATTTTGAAAAATTAACTTTTTTCAATTACAATAATTGTACTACCAAAAAAAGTTAAATTCCCTAAAAAGGACCAATATTTTGGGATGGAGGGAGTACTTATTTTATCATATTTATTTTAAAAAAAATATATTAAAAAACATATTTATTGTATATTGTTTTCACTAAATAATAAAATGAAAATGTTAGATTTATTAGATTGATATAATTTTTTTTCATGAATAATATGTATTAAGGACTTTACAAAGTAAATAATTTAAATTATCAAAACAAAACTCATGACGTGCTTCATGGATCTCTCAAATTAGAGAAATCCAACCCTAATTTATATTTAGGTCTTGTTTTGGAAAAAGATTGAGTTAAAATAGCCTAATAAAGACAAAATAAATTAAATAGTTAATAAGATAAAATGTTATATCTAATCTATAATTATTATTATTTTTTTTATAATTATCAAATCAATTAAAAAAAATTAATTTTTCAAATATAACTATTTTAGCTGATTAAAATAATCAGAAACATCAAATGTCAACTGTATAAGGGCCCAATTGGCGAAGGCCCTGGCAGAGGAAAGGGCCCAATTGGCGTTTGAGAGAGCGGCGCACCTCGACCTGTGCAAGGCGGCGGCGGAGCAATTCAAGTAGTTCGCCGAATTCCAAATAGCCATCAATGCCGCAGTCGCCAGGAGCTTGGCGATAGAGGGTGATGGGGGGGTTGGGCCGTCGGGAGCGGCCGTTGGAAGTAAGAGTGAAGAGGAAGTGATCTAAAGCTTTCAGCGGTCGGATTTTTATAAGCATGAAATGGCTGAGTTCTGGGACAGCGGCTGGAAGACCTTCAAACAGAAAGCGGAAGAGCTGTTCCCAGATGTGGACTTCAGCCGCGTGGAGATAGGCGAAGACGACATCGCCCATACCCCCCTCAACGAGGGGGTTGAAGAGGAAGACCTGGGCTCTAGTATGGAAGAGTGATCTTTGTAAAAATTTTGTGTTTGTGTGTTTTGTTTATTTTTGTTACGTGTAATTTCTGTAGTGAATCGTATGTAACTGTAAGTTTGTAAATAAAAACAACGGATTTTCCCTTGTACTGTTGTCGTTATTTCTTCTGAGTTGTAACTTTAAAAATAATAAAAATAGTAGAGCAGAGTTTAATGAAAAATGGTTGTAAAAGTAAGACTTGTGTATGAATTGTGAAACTTGCTAGTAGATTGTGATGTAAAAAGTTTAGAAATGGGCGGCCAGCTGTAGACGTCCCCAAACGCCCCGGGAGGATGAGGTCCCGTTCTGTTCATTTTGGGCTCACTACAGTTCGAACTCTCAAATCGTCACGGTTCTAAATCTGAACCAAAGAGTCCAGATCCGGCAAATCGTTTTGAGAAAACAGATTTTTTTGAAAGAAGTGCCACACATGGACTGCTTTGCCAGATACATAGTCGCCACCTAAATATTTTATTTTGGGGGAAATTTAGGAAACCCTGACTCGTTGCCTAAGGCCACGTGTCCGTTATCACCAAAGTTGCCTCGGCTCGGGAACTTGGGTACGATTGGGGAAGGTCACTTCGTGAGCACCCCCGCTCGCCCGATCAAAGATCGGCCTCTACTAACCATGATATATATTTTTGAAAACTTTGTGTGTCCTTAATCCGGTTATTAGCCTAGGTTACTATGTGATGCACACAGCATACAAGTATAGACTGGATCGCCTGAATTGGAACAAAACATTTCATGTTTGTTTGTTTGAAAATGGTTTGATGGTGCTACCCGCAAGTAGGCTAAGACGTGGATTTGCCACCCTCGGATGGGCTTAGAAAACATGATTTTGCCACTATCTAGTGGGCTTAAAACTCACAATTAATGAATTGTTCCAATTTCAAATAACCCAACCTTCACCCACAGGCATTCAAGCAGTTATATCATATAAGCACATAGCCTTCATGGTAAGCATGCTATTCATGGCAGTCACTCACACGCATGCAAGGATGCTAAAGCATAAAACTTACCGAGTACTCCAAGCCAAAACAAAAACTAATTAGAAATTCATGCATGATCCTAATTATACAGAAATGCCTAATGCAACACATGCAAAATGCAACTATAGCAGGCTCGGTTATTCTAAGATGGCATATGGAATGCTATAACTACCATTTATTCAACTTGGAATTGAAAATACAATGCAGTTAGTATGATGCGCCGAGCCCGGTGCATGCAAGACAGATGAATGAATGCAAACATGCTATCATACTGTATGCTGATTGAAACATGCCCTAATCTAACCATCATAAGCGGGTAAATAAAAGGGAGAAAGACGTGGGGTTGGAAGACATACATCACACGCACGCACACTTATTACAGTTGTGCCCTCGCTCAGAGGGTCCGAATAAATAATACAGTCCCGAATAAATAATTACAGTCCAAATAATTACAAAACCCTAATTAATTAACAAATTAATCTAGGAAAGTAATAAATTGGCACGCAAATCCGTGGACCGCCTCAGCTCTGTTTCGAGAGATGAATGATGCATACTCGGGTTGCCTTTGTCGGAAAATCCCTTGTGATGCTCCGGTTTGTCTCTGTTTGCAATTGTTCTTGGAATGCGTTCCAAGCTCCGAAAGGCTGCTGATTTCTGATTTGCTGCAACAGATAGCAACAAAGGGCCATGGCAAAGTATTTTCACATATGTATGCATGACTACTCTTCAGGGAGTGTAGTCCTCGGTCCTCGTGCCACCAATCATGCATCTCAATGCATGATGGCCGAGGAGTCGAATTGCACGACTCAATATGAAATGAATGCACATATAAACACAACAAGACCTAAACTCCATCATGGATAATCCGGAGTGTCGGCGACCAGGAATTGAGACACGTTCCGTCACTCGGAGTACGAAACGTATCTCGTTTCCCGTGCTTGGGCTAACTCCTATCCCAAACACAATGTAATATGCATGACATGCATAAATGCAATCCTAACATGCAACCTAGCATACACAATACTATGAAATGGCATACACAATGCACGATATAACGAGGCATACACAATGCTCTAAAATACAACCTAACATACACAATGCTATGAAATGAAATGACATACACAATGCACAATGGACTTACACCAATATGAGTGGACCTCAACCACACTCACATCAGTGGCCATTAGATGAAAATGAGACACTCGAAATGCGTGCACACATGCACGCAAATCGATGACCGAACCTAAGGCACAGCATGCAACTCTAACAAGGCATGGCAAGGGATGCAAGATGGCATATAAACCCACAAATTCCAGCACTGAAATATGATGCTAAACAGCCCCGAAACATGGAA